CCCCAAAACCCCAAAACCCCAAAACCCCAAAACCCCTAGCCCCAGATTTAAAGTTGAAAGTTTCTCAGCGTATATATTAATCTATAATGGACCTTAAGAAGAAACACTTTAAAGAATCTCAAGTTAGTACCCAAGAAATTGCAACGAGTACAGAAGTTTTTAAAATAATGAAATTGAAGCATTGACCTTCTTTGATGGAGTTGTTCTATCTTAATAATTGATTAATTTCACTCTTGCCAAAGCCATCTTTCAAAGACTTAAAAAGAATAAATGTGCCCATGCCTTCTGGGAAAACTGTTAGTATTACGAATATATCTCAGAGACAACTGCAAAGTAAAAGAATATTTGAAAAGTTACCTAAAAATGTTGGAAAAACATGATTCAACTCCATCTTTAACACTTACAGTTCCAATTCAAAACTAGTGAATATCAGTAGATTTATGCCAGATTTAGGTAAGTATCCTTCCTAAGCATAGCTTCAAAAATACTTCCTAGGGCAACTTCAGTGTTCATGATAAATGGATGGAAGCTCCAAAAATAAAACTTTTCAAAGACTTATTCATGCTGCGTATCATCTTGATAGTCTTTGGTTTGATGAATGCGCCATATTTTCAGAAGGATTTAAGATCACTCCTAATAGAAAATTTAATATCAAAGTAATAGGATTTGGTAATTGAGGAGCCTCCCTTTTCAGTAAATTTAGTCTCTTAACAATAGGCAATTGGGAGAATCATCCTGAGAGATTTGAAGAAATCATTAAAGGCATTTCTGAGAGTCCAAACATTAAAAGATATCTCAAAACAATCCGCGTAACCTTAGCAAGCATCAGTAGAAAACAAGTGCATGATATCTTACAAAAGTACAACCCTGGGGGTAAAATCACTTTCTAAAAACTTTGGTCAATTTTTGGTTGATAACAAAAATTCCCCCAAATCTGACCTCTAAAATCCTCTCCTAATCCCAAACCTCTCTCAGCCACCTTCCTGCTCTTACCCCCTCTCCTACTCTTACTCCCCCTTCCTCATTCTCATTGGGTACTTTACTGACATCTCAATCAGGCCTTCAGCCTAGGACTTTCTACCATAGTAGTGGAGGTCTGAGAAGAGCTGGGTTCGAGACATAGGCGGGTTGGAGAAGGAGGGGATTTTGGGGCTTGTAGGAAATGAGGTTAAGGGGTGGGATAGTAGGGGTGCATGGAGCAGGGCTTGTTAAGTGTGGGAATATGCTTTAAGGGTTAGGATAATGAGAAAGTTAACATTTTATTAGTATAGTTTGATGGTGATGTAAGTTGATAGAGAGATTTTGAAGTCAAAAAAAGTTAATTTTAGAATTTGCTTTGATTCATGCATTACAAATTCAGACATGAAATTATAAAGTTAAGCTTGTAGATATTCAAAATTTATTATATTACTGGGGTTTTGGGGTTTTGGGGTTTTGGGGTTTTGGGGTTTTGGGGTTTTGGGG